CTGGGCCTGTACTCTGGGTCGAATGAGGATCCAGTGGGCCCCAGGCGGTCTCATTCACACACCGGGCTTGCGCTCTGGGTCAATTCAGGATCTGGCGGCCCGGGTCCTCTCACTTGCCACGCCTGTGCCCTGGGTCGTCTCACTCACACACCAGGCCTGGACTCTGGGTCTAATCAGGATCCGGTGGCCCGGGTCCTCTCACTCACTCGCCCGGCCTGTGCTCTGGGTCTATTATGGATCCGTGGGCCCTGGGCGGTCTCCAGAGTATTGTTAAAATGACAAAATACAAAGTTGACTTAATTTGTAGAACATATAATTTTGTAAACTAAGTCTTAAATGCTCACTTTGACTTAAATTTTGTATCACTCTTGTGCTTACAATGGAGTAAGTGCCTTTAAAAAAAAAAAAAGACAGTTCCTTAAAAAAAAATGTATCCATCCTTTTTTTAAAAAAATGTATTTGGTACAGGGTCTCACTATGCAGCTTGGACTCCTAGTGATTCTGTTTTCAGCCTCCCCAGTGCTGGAATTATAGGTGTGCACCACCTTGGCAGACTTGGTCCCCGGCTCAGCACACTTGGGAGCAGGGCTGGTGCGGCATGCAGTACCAAGGACTCAATCCTGGTCCCTGTGCTTGCCAAAGCAGGTGCTTAGTCTGCTGAGCTATCTTGTCAGCCCTGTATCTTTAATAGGTTTCCCAAACGAGCAAAGCAGCTGCTTTTGGACCATTCTAGAACAGTGGTGGTGAAACTCACTTGCTCCTGTTGACACCTGAGCCAAGTTACCCCAGCAGCCAAGTGTCAGATAATAGTTGTTTTTCTACCCTAAAGCCTCAGTGCTGAAGTTGAATTGCAGTGTTGGCACTCTGCAATAAGTGAGTTTTGGGTTGCAGTTTGGGCACTTATCTCTAAATGGTTTGCAATCACTGTCCTAGAAGGACTTAATCATTAAGTCATAAAGCATGAATTGGATCTTTCCTTTTAATGCATAAACCAGTCAAAGCATGAATTGGATCTTTTTAATGCATAAACCAGTATTTTCATTGAGAAATGTGTTTCTAGTTTCTATATTTGAGTTCTCTAAAAGAAAGCAAACTAATGCCAGTGATTGGGCTGTCAAAGACTACAAAATAATCACAGCAGTTTTTCTTTTTGAATCTGGATAGGTCCTGGAAATCCACAATACAAGATTGCAGACAACTTGCTACTAACCCCAAGAAAATTATTTTTATTGTTGTCCTAAAAATTAAATCTCAGCTGTAAACCTTTATCATCTACCTCATCCTCAAAAGAGCAAGAGCAGGACTATTGCTGAACTAGCTAGCAAATGAAAATAGCTTCTCAAATAGCTTTTTCACCTTCCAGGAAATCTTTGCCTTTACAGTATAAGGCCTCTAGTTAACTGTCACTGTAATCATCAGCTGCTTAAGAAATGTTAACTTCTTTCATGTCTTTTGGTAGCTACTTCATCTATAATTTGTTGATTAAAATAAAAATCAGAATCTTTAAATGAAAATACTATCTATAGAGGAGGCAAGGAAACAAGTTTGGCCTTTAGTGAAGGCACAAATTGATTTTCAGGGCTTTCCCCTCTTAACCTAACAGTTCTCAAAGGTCACACTTGCCATCATCTGCAGGCTTAGGATTTCTACAGGAATTTTGTGGGGACATAAACAAGAGTTGTGGACTAAAGCACCTGCTTAGGTAGACGCAGGGAGCGGAGTTCGATCCCCAGCATATCGTGCCTGGTCCCATCCCCAGGGTGTGTTGAGACTGCAATTGAGACTGGGCGTGGTGGCACTCACCTGTAATCCCAGGGCTTGGGAGGGAGGCTGAAAACAGGAGGAACACTAGGAGTCCGATCTGTGTAGTGAGACCCTGTACTATTTACATTAAATAAAGAAGCAGACTTTTTATCACAGGTAGGGAGCCCGTGATAAGTCTGTCATGTTTTCACTGTTTTTGATGACACAGTTGCAAGGTGCACTGGTTGGTACTTTATGGAATACCTCACGTGGCATTTGTCTAATGCTTATCTCTGTGCTTTGGGAGGAAGAGAGGTAAGCTGCCTTTTCATCACATACCAGGAAAGGCCAATATGACAAAACATGATGTTCACTTTGACCACTGGCAGATTGTCCAGTCTCCTTCCCACACTATACTGTTGGGAAGAAGTCACTATGTACAGCCCATACTTAGGAAGTGAGGTGTTTAAATTTTTTAGAGTTTTTTTTTTTTTTTTTTTAGAAGTGGGAATTCAAGGCTAACTGGACTACACAGCAAGACCTTATAAAAAAAAAAAAAAAAAAAAAAAAAGATAAACCCCACCAAAATACTAGCATCAAGGGGCCAGGGAGATGGCTCAGTAGAATAAGTGCTTCCCTGGCAAGCGCAAGGGCTTGTTCAATCCCTGGTTCCGCAAAAAAAACCCAAAAACACAAAAAAAAACAAAACAAAAAAAAACAACACAGCATCAGCTGCATGTGGTGTGCATTTAAAATAGATAACTGCAATACCTGTCTGAGACATACTTGAGGAAAGCAGAATAACTTTGTATTTTATCTGAAGGAATGTTTATACCCATTCCCAAGGAAGTATTATGGGGAAGTTGCTGCTTTTGGCAATCACTGTATTACCAAAAAAATTTTCCTGAAGCATCTACTGTTTACATAGCAATTAAAAATAAGAGCATTCAATTGAATTAGAGAACAAATGGTAAGAATTTTAATAACTATCACAAAACCACTGACCAAACAAAATAATGTTAAAATTTTTTAAATAAAAGAATTTTTAAAATAGCAGTGCAGGAAATAAACATTAAAATGTTTGCATAATTACAGTCATTTTAATATTCTCATAAGCTAACAATTTGTTAATAAAGGCAAAGAAAGACATCTAAACAAATCAGACACAGCAAGACAACTTGGGAAATAATTCCTTAACATTTTATTGCTGGTTAACAGTTTTAAATGACTTTAAAAAACAATTCAAAATAATCTGAATCTCCTTTTGATTTTCAAAGTATCCAAAAATTCTCCACTATAATATCTGTACATTTAGATACAGTGTTTATAGGCCATCATAATCCTCTCTGGTCCATCAGCTGAGATGTGCTTATTAACCTTGGTTTGCTACCATACATTTTGCAAAGATTTTGGCCAGACATCTCAAAACAAGTGAAATATATTTTAAATAAGCCAAAAAAAAAAAAAAAAAGCAAATATGAAAACAAATGAATCATTCAATCCAAGTAGGCATTCTGTTAATGATCTCAATTACTAGTAACAAATGACCTAAATATAAGCAGCATTACCAATATCTGCATGTAATAAAAATTAGTGATAATAGTGCAGTAAGTATTTCAATTAAATCTGATAGTTGCTATATATTTGGCTGGTTTCAAAAGATCAAAACAATTACATTTGTTCTACATAAATGGATATGGCATGTGTATGCATTCCTTTTCTTATTATTAATTCGAAATTCTAAATAGCCTCTAAATATATTTATTGAGAACTACTATAGATAACTCACGTAAAGAGAGAACTCTGTACAGAGAATTTATAAATTATCTGTTAAAACTGGGCACAGAAATTAACTGGATTTAAATTTGCTTCTCTGCTTCTGATGAAGCAAGAGAATCTTGGTCTAAAAAGATGCTGCTTTATGAAGGATAAGTGGTGACATTTCTGTACAAACCAGCTTATTTTGTTAATGTGCTTATATAGGACACCAGAAATTTTCCAACTACAAGTATGTTACATAATTACAAGCTCAGAGTAATAATCAGTATATTATCCAAGAATTTTTTTCCCCTGAACAAACTTATCCCTGACTTTCCAAAACACAAAGAACATAACTATGGGGAGAGGTGCATCTTAGTATTTTTTATTTTGATATTAATTTGTTTATACTGTATAAGGAGTTATCTGAACTTAGTACCTGATTTATAGGTGAAATTGATTTTAACTATTAAAATTATATACAAGAAAGTTAGGGGTGTTGCAGTACTTGGTTGCAAATAACTTGCCATCTTGTGTTGGGTCAGAAAATGCTATTTCATTTATGCTGAGGAAACAGCCAAACATGAAACAATTCCTAGAAAAAAAAAAGAAAAGATGTTTTAATGGAATCAACTTAAGGTTGTGATTAAACATGAACACAAAGTCTTTATTACATAAATGCTATTTAATTTAAAAATAATTGACTTTAAGATACATATTTAATATACTTACCATCACTGAACAGAAATTTATTGTTAAACTTACTACAATCTAAATCAAAATACTGGTTAGGTTTCATTGTTTTTACAAGTATATTGGCTATTTAAAAAAAAACAAAAACAAGGCTTGTGTATTTCAGCCACAACTTGCACTTAACTCATTCTGAGTTTGTACAAATAGTCCCATCTAAACCTTGGTTGCTTATGTAGAACAAGTAGGAACAATACTGTATTGCCTAGGCAGGCACAGGCACCGGGGTTCGATCCCCAGTGTGCCACGGCCCTGACCCCGGTGCGCACTGAGAAGGCATAGTGGCACACTCTTGTAATCCTAGTGCTTGGGAGGCTGCAAACACGAGGTTCATTACTAGTCAAATCAGTGTAGTGAGACCCTGTACTAAAATACATTAAAAAAACCAAAAAAACTGTATTGCTATCGAGAATCAAGCAGACATCATCTGTATACAGACAGAATTCAGTCTAAGGCTCCTCACATACAGTATAGCCACAAATTATGTTACCTGTATCTTCAACTCAGATATAAGAAAAGATACTTTCAAATAAATGTTTTATCTCCTCTTTGAGGTTAACTTCCTCCCAGGAAGGTATAAGGATTCCAATTTCCTTCATGTCCTCACCAATTTTCATCTCCCCTTTACTTAATACACATTTATCCCGGTGGGGTGTGAAGTGTTACCTCACTGGTTTTGGTTTGTGATTCCTCTGATAACCAAAGATGTTGAATATTCTTTTATCTGTTATGTCAACCATGTGCATTTCTTCTCTGAAATGTCTACTGAAATCCTTTGGCTGTTTTTTTCTTTCTTAAGACAGGATCCTGCTGTATTGTCCAGGTTGGCTTCAAAGCTGGCATCCTCCTGCTTCAGCCTCTTGAGTAGCTGGTATTACAAGCTGTGCCTGGCTTCCTTGCCCATTTTTAAATTGGGCTGTCTTTCTATTGTTTCTACATGCTGGATTTTTAAAACCCTTAACAGATCAAAGATTTGCAAATATTTTCTTCTGTAGGCTTACTAAATTAACTTTTCTGTATTTTTATCAATTACACTTAATTGAAATGTAACTTTCTATGGTTTAAATGTATAAAAGTCTGGTTTTGTATTTTCTATCATCATCATCATCATCATCATCATCATCATCATCATCATCATCATCATCATCATCATCATCATCATTTTAGTGTTGATAGTGATTGAACCCAGGGCTTATGCCTACTAGGTAAGAGCTGTAACATGTCAGCTGATATTCTTTTTTCTTTTTATGTATTTGGTACAGGGTCTCACTCTGCAGCTTGGACTTGTAGTGATCCTTCTGTTTTCAGCCTCTCCAGAGCTAGGATTATAGGTGTGTGCCATCATGAGGGTCTCAGTGGCCAGTTCAGAGCTCCCGGGGTGGGGCTGTTGCAGCATGTGGTGCTGGGGGATTGAACCCCAGTCCCTGCACTTGCCTAGGCAGGCGGCTTAGGCCGCTGAGCTATCTCACTGGCCCTCATACTTTCTTTTTTTTTTTTTTCTTTTTTTGCGGAACCGGGGATTGAACTGTGGCCTTTGTACTTGCCAGGCAAGCACTTATTCTACTGAATACTTTCTTTTTATTGTTTTGAATTCTGTTTTTTCCCCCTAATGGTAGAGGGCAGTGACGATGAACCGTTTAGAGCTCTCAATGATATAAACGGTCTCCCGGGATACACATGCCATGGTTTTACTACCACTGGTATAGGGAGGGGACTGAACCCAGGAGGCACTGATTACCTTTCAGCCTTTTACTTTTACGTTCAGACAAAGTACAGCTCCATTACTCATGCTGGCCTTTAATTGTTGATCCCTCTGCCTCAGCCTCAAGTGGCTGAGATTATAGGTGTGCCACCATTTCAGTTTTCTAGATAATCCATTTTTATATTTTAATAAAAGTGCTATTCTGTAACAAGTTAAACTAGGCCTTTACCACAAAAAAACTGGTGTGGAATGTTGTATACCTGTCATTTTTCAGTACCAATGCAGAACCTCATCCAGACTTGGACAGCATTTACTTTTTAAGGTATTTAGTACAGGGTCCACAGGGTCTCATTACATAGATCAGAATCATAGTGATCTTCCTGCTTTCTGCCCCCCAGAGTGCTTGGATTACAGGCGAGCTACCATGCCCAGTCTCAATTGCCCTCTCAGCGTGCCCTGGGAGCAGGGCTGGCACAGCACTTAGGGATGGAACCTAGGTCCCTGCTTGGGCCTAAGCAGGCACTTTAATCCACTGAGCTATCTGGCCAGCCCCATTTTAAATTTTTTTAAATTTTTATGTATTTGCTTGTTGCAGGGTCTTATTACACAGTCAGACTCAGAGTGATCCTCCTGTTTTTCAGCCTCCCCAGCACTGAGATTACAGGAGTATGTGACTATGCCCACCCCGACTCTATGGCTGGCTCAGCCTGCCCTGGCGGTGAGACTAGCAGCATGTGGTGCTGGGGATCAAACCTTGGTCCTTGAGCTTGCCTAAGCTTGCCTAAGCAGGTGCATTAGCCCGCTGAGCTATCTTACCAGCCCCAGTTGGCCAGCATTTATAGAGAAGCATCCTGTCAACATCCTTATCTTTGGTTCATGAATCAAGAGAGGCTCTGGGAAAACCAAAAATGCAAGGTTCAAGATTGAGACGTATTTTGTTTTTTTACCTGAGAGTATCAACCAGTCGTCTTGCAATGCGCTTTCTTCTCTTCAGTTTGAAAACCCAGAGTCTACTTATCCCACAGACTGCGTGTTCTGGTACATTTGAACACTGCCAGGCTCTAGAATTTTCTTTAGAGCCTGAGGATTCTGGGCCAGTTGGCTCAGATAGGACACGGAAAGCCTGCAATGATATATAGAAGCTACTGTAAGTAAAAAACAAAATCACGAGTTCACATTTTTTTTAATACCTTACATAAAACCTTAGAATCTAAAATTAAAAATATGACCACCAAATGTATTAAAATTCTTTAATGTATCTTGAATTCTTACACAATTAGTCATATAATGCTCATAAATACTAGCAATACAGAAATACCCCATTGTAGTTCAATGCATACTTTTATGAAATCTTTGATGATAAACTTAAAAAATCAAATTCTTTTTTTTTTTTATTTTTTATTTTTGTGGAACCAGGGATTGAACTCAGGCCCTTGTGCTTGCCAGGGAAGCGCTTATTCCACTAAGCCATCTCCCCGGCCCCCAAAATCAAATTCTTAAACTTCCCCTATTACTTCCGTCTTGCAATGTATATATGATAACCTAAAAAACTAATTCAACACTAAAGATTTTTACTCATAACCAGAAAATTATTTCATATCTAATTACTGTCTTCTGGTTATGTTCTAGGATTTCTCACTAGGCTACATCCCCAGTTCTTTAGCTTTTATTTTGAGATGGAGATCTCATTAAATTAGCCCAAGTTGGGCTCAAACTTGGAAGCTTCCTCCCTCTGCCACTAGGAGAATTGGAAATATAGGTGTGCCACCCTGTTTTTTGATATTAAATTTATAAAAAAAAAACCCAAACTTTTGTATTTTCAAATAATTGTAGATGCACAAGATGAAAAAACAGAGGGTCCATGTATCCTTCACCCTGTTTTTGCCACCTTTTGTTAACGCTACTATAATATGTAAACCAAGAAATTAATATTGGCAAGTGTGTGTACAGTTCCACAACACTTCATCATGGGAATGTGTATTCACTTAGCCACCACTACCATCAATATACAGAATTACTGTACCCCCACAGGTCTTCCTCTTGCTACCCGTTTAGTGTCATATTTCACTCCCCACAAGCCCCAATAATGCCTCGCAACTATGAATCTGTTCTCTATCTCTTTGATTTTGTTATCCTTGTCATATAAATAGATCATCATGAAGCATGTGACCATGGAGATTTGAGAATTTTTTCACTCAGCACAATACCTGGAGATCCATCCATACTGTTACAAGTATCTATAATTGCTAAATAATATTCATCATATGGATATATTACAGTTTAACCATTCACTTACTAAAGGTTAATTTGTTTCCAGGTTGTGGCTACTACAAATAAAGCTGCTATCAACATTTACAAAGGGTCCAGCAAATAATTAACAGAATGTCCTGATCTAATTATTTTATATGTAAGTAACCAAAATTTGCTGATGAAAAGACTGTGGGTGAAAGAATGAAAAAAACAAGCCCCAACTATATGTGGTCTACTTTCAATCTCATTTTACAAGGCCAGGATTAACATGGTACTAAGGCCAGACAAAGACAAAAATGAAATTACACGCCAGTATCCCTGATTAACCCAGATGCAAAAAATGTAAAAATATTAACACCTCAAATTTAATAGCACATTAAAAGGACCATTCCCTATGATCAAATGGAACTCATCCCTCACATACAAGAGTAGTAGTTCAATATACCAAAGCAATAAATGTGACATACAACATTAAAGTACAACAGACAAAAAATACCTGATTAGAAAAAAGGACAAGGACCTAACTAGACATTTCTAAAATAAGACAAATGGCTAGTAAGAGTATGAAGAAACACTCCATAGAACCATGAGGGAAATACAACTTAATGCCACAGTGAAATAGCACCTAATACCTGTAAGAACAGTTATTATAAAAAAGACAAGAGACATCAAATGCTAGCATAGATGTGAAGAAAAGGGAAACCTTATTTATACAGTACACTGAGGAATGTAGATTAGTAGAACCATGATGGAAAACACAATGGAGGTCTCTCAAAAAAGTAAAGAACTACACACATGATCCAGCAGCTCCACTTCCAGGTACAAGTTCAAAGGAAATAAAAGAAAAAAAATCTAAGAGTTAGCTGCCTTCTTGGGTTCACTCAGCACTATATACAATATCCAAGACATAGAGTCGACCTCAGTGTTTATTAATGAATGAATGGGGAAAGAAAATGTAATGTATATGTATACAACAGAACATTACTTAGCCATAAAATAAAATGAAACCCTGTCATTTGTGACAGCATGGACAAACACATAGGATACTAAAAGATACTGCATGATGTAACTTAAATGCAGAATCTAAAAAAGTGGAACTTTAGAAGCAGAGAGAGGATGGAAGTAATGGGAGAATGTTCATAATAATGTAAAACATTTCACCTGGGATCAGTTCTGGAGCTCTATGGTATAGCATAACCAATTTAGATAAATGAACATTTGAAAACTGCTAAGACTGTACAGGTGGGGGCCTGCCCCTTAGCTCAGTTCTTTAAGTGGCTGCTTCAACAAAGCAGTCAGGCTCAGGTTGGTGTGGTTCGATCCCCACAACACAAGACAGCCAGTCATGCCTTGAAGGCATTCGGCGCAAAAAAAAAAAAAAAAAAAAAAAAAAAGACTGTACAGGTTAAATATTCTCATCACAAAACGTGAGTTGATGAACATGTTAACTGGCTTGATATAGGAGAATTTCATAATGTAGACATATATCAAAACAAGGGCCTGGGGAGATAGCTCAGTAGACTAAGCGCTTGCCTGGCAAGCACAGGGTCCTGAGTTCAATCCCCAGTACCGAAAAAAATAAAAAAAAATCAAGTTGTATACTGTAATATGTAATTTTCACTTGTCAATGGCACCTTAATAAAGCTGGTCCTAAGAGAGAAAAAACTAATGTGAGCAATTTTACTGCTAATGATACAAATCAGATGCTTTTCTAACTTTTAATAACAAAGGCAATGTTTATCAGAACATTGCTAATTAGTACCTAAATAGATTGTAATTAAGGGATAAGTAGGGACTATTTATCTAAATTAGGCTACTCTCTATAGATTTGCTTATCTAAAATTTTATATTTCTAGGTATAGAAATGGCTACCTGTAGGTGAAATGATGAGATGAATGTACAACTGATACCCTGTTTATAAAAGATATCAAATATAATATGAATGAATGACTTCATTACCCGCACAGAGACTTTAATGGAACAAAGTTATTAATACCAGTTTTAAATGTTTGTGACTTAGTCCAACTACTTTACTTTGCTCACAAAATTATGCTAATAATTTAAGCAACATATAACATACCTGTTTGATTGGCTCTGCAATTAAACAGCCAACTACTCTCTTATCATCAGAAACAAAGAGAAAAGTTTTGGTTTTTTCTGGACATTTGGGAACAACTTGTTGGAAGCCCAGTTCATAATCAACAAGCTCCTGGACATCTGTTACCTAATGATGTTAAAAAACAAAAGGTGAATTTGTTTTAAAAAGCTCTATACAAATAACATATATGTACATTTAAAATGTATGATTACTATTACTTTAGCCATCTTTATCTCTCTTTCCAAAATTTTGCATCCTCAAAATTATTTCACTATTGATGCATTGGTATTTCAGAAACAGGGCTAGAGGAACCTATTTTACAGGGTACTTGTAGCAGAGTCCAGGTCTTCTCAGGTAAGATAAGCAGTAGAAGTCCTAAAACATTCATTTTAGCTTTATTTACTCATGTTGGCTAAATATCCAACCCAAGAAATATAGGCAACATCAACATAAGAAATGGACTTAATGGGGGGCATTACTTTCTCAACACTGAAAAGATCATTTTTTGGAGACAGGGTCTCACAATGTAGCCCAGGCTGGCCTCAAACTTATGGTAATCCTCCTACCTCAGCCTGAGTGCTAGGATTACAGTAGTGTGCTACAATACCTAGCTGAAAAGTTCAGTTTTTCGCTTTTACACGTGCAACATAAAGGTAGAAGATAGGCGGTTTTCCCTATTTTCTAAAAGACTCCTTTTTCTTGGGATTCTAAGTTTGGTCTCATATGAACTGTCATAGAAGTCTTCCTTGACCATGCATCAAAATGTCTTGCCTATTAGCAAAATGGTTTATACTCAAGCACAGGTTGATTTCTTGGGGGTAATGGAAGAATAAAGGTTAAAAAGATAATGTTCCACACCTTTCTGATAGCGTAACTTGGATCACGTGGCAGGACCAGCAGGATCTTTCCATCCCAAAACTCTGCTACCACTCGTTCTCTTTTCCAGCCCTGCCAAAGGAAAAAAAAAAAAAAAGATACTTCATTTGCAAAGAGAAAACAAACTAAAAAACTCGTAACATAATTTGGCCTGGGGAGGACAAAGATCAAACAATGATATAAGAAAACAAAGCCCAATTAAAATATGGTAAAACAAAAAATGCCTTCAAGGGGCTGACATCATATGGAAAACATACACACACACACACACACAGACATAAACAAAGCAAAGTCAAATAACAGCCCTCCATCAGATCTCAGAGAAAAAAATACTGAATTACTCAGAGTTGGCAAGAGGCTGAGTTCTAGGGAAGCTTTAATAAAAAAGCCTGAGGCCCAGTATAGTGGCACACACTTGTAATCCAAGTTGCACAGCAGAATGACAAGAGGATCCCAAAAACCCAGAAACAGACTAACGGTACAGCAGAAACCATCCCTATGTGGGAGTGTAGCAGACATTATGTGAGGCACTGACAATCAATGGAGAACATGAGCCAATTGAACAGGAATGCTGGGATACTTGGAAAACCTTTAAAAAAAATAGATATACCTCTCCTGGGAAATAACATGCCTCAAAAAGATTCCTAAAGGATTAAAGATCTAAATATAAAATCTATATCTACAAAACATGTTAAGAAAATAAAGGAAGAAGGCCAAGCGTGGGGGTGCATATCTGTAATCCTAGCAATCAGGAGATTGAGGCAGGAGTATCGTTGCAAGTTCGAGATCAGCCTGGACTACAAAGTGAGCTCAAGGCAAACCTAAACTGCATACTGAGACCCTGTCTCAAAAAGACAAAGGAAAAAAAAAAGAAAAGAAATAACTGCTTATTGAGAATGATATTCTTGACTTAAACTCAGAGGTCACAAATTAACTAAAAATTTTTAAATTTTTGTGTGGTAGCATATAATATAAAAAGGTTAAAAATCAAGTAATGGCTTTCTTTGTAAATATAGAAAAATATACAGATACAGATGAAACTGTTATTGTTGGCTTCCTACAGAGAGGAGAACTGGAAGGGAAAGAAAGTAGCTTTCACTGGATATACTTCTATACCCTGTAAATGGTGAAGCATGATAAATTATTAATGTATCAAAATATAAGTAAGCTTAAATCTTAAATAACAGAACAAGGAGAAATATTTGTCACATAGAAATTATTTGTGAAATAAGTAAGGACTAAACACCTAGCAGATTCCCCATTAATTAAAAAAAGCAAACCAATATAGACAATAATCACACCCCATCAAAAGAATTTACTTTGTTCTAAAGGCAGGAGCTTAAACCTCAAGGGACAGTATGCCACACATCAAGAAGGGCAGGGGTCAACAGATGAAGCACACTAGTGACCACAGTAAGGACATTTATTCTTAGTGCAATAGGACTGTTAAACCCGAAGCAGAACATGACAAAATTTTATTTCTATGTTAGAAAAGAATTCTCTTGCTGATATGTGGAAAGCACATTATAGTGGGAATTATACAACACATACATACACATTTTCTGTCATATAGTTGAAAGGCTGAGGCCAGATTTAGCAGCACCTAATTGCTGGTGGGAACTTTCTGTCTTAAAGTATGTAGGATCATACTGACCCTGTTTTAAGAAGTATTCTAAGAGCATTGTGGAATCCCAGAAAAGAAGCTTTAATAAAACAGGCTAGAAACTATAGTGAAGGCATAAATGACAGTAATATAAATGAAAGGATGTATATGAGCAGAAGGTATAATCCTAAAGGTAAGGCCAATGGCAGATGTGGGGACTAAACTGGTGCCCCAAAAAGAGCGGAAGGGGTCTGGAGAAGTTGTAGAGAGGCTGTTTTAAAGTTATCCCCAAAGAAGTTGTAGGAAGGATGGGCTCTCATCTAGTGTGAGGACTTTAGGTGGCTTTCTTTTTATCCTTTGGGTCTTTTTGAGACAGCGTCTTACTGTGTAGTTCCAGTTGGCCTGGAGCCTCAGTCTCTGCAGTGCTGGGACTGGCCTGCGCCACCATGCTCCACTAGGTCTGAGTTTTGCGTCTCATTTGTTGAACTCTACTGAGAATGCTAGGGACTGGGATGTAGGGTACCTGAGTACTCCACTTAGGCCAACACTTCTCTCATACTAGGTTCATAAATTTTCAGTATTATTAAATGCTAACCTTTGAGCTAGGGATATAGTTTAGTGGCAGAGGGGCCAGGGAGATGGCTCAGTGGAATATAGGCTTCCCTGGCAAGCGCAAGGGCCTGAGTTCAATCCCCGGTTCCGCAAAAAAGAAGAAAAAGGGCAAGTTTCCAACGTGTTTCTTTGGGGACCTGCCCAGTAGCTCAGTTGTTTAAGTGCCTGCTTAAACAAAGCCCTCAAGCTTAAGCTTCTGCGGTTCCAACCCAGACAGTCACTGCAAACCAGGAATGCCATAAAGGCATTTCCAGCCTCCCCCCCCCCAAAAAAAAAACCTTCTACCATAGTTTAGTGTAGAGCACTTGCCGAGTACATATGAGGGAATTTAATTCCCAGAGCGGCAAAACAATAACAAAAACCTTAATTTTAAGCACAAAAAAACTGTAGACAATGAAATATTTATGGATAATTAGATCTGTCAATTTTTTTTTTCTTTCTGAAATAGGGTTTCACTGTGCAGTTCAGGGTGGCCTTGAATTCATTTTGAAGTTCAGACTAGCTTCAAACTTGAAGTGAGCCTCCTGCCTCAGCCTCCTAAGCATTGGGATTCCAAGTGCGTGCCACCACACCTGGCTAATCTTTTGATATTTAATGGAAATAAATGTCTTTTAAGGCATTTTATTTTTAGAAAACTGAAAGACTATTTTTGACTTACTGTGTATTTGATTCCCTCCAGAAATCTGTGATGATACTGGGCATGTTGCATTTCATCTTCAGGATTAGAAGCAGAATAGATCATACCACAAGATTTACACATAGTAGCCCCAAAATATTTCTGACCTGCATCCTATAATTGAAGAGGGAAGAAAAATCCATGTACATATTTCTACAAATAGCTATAAATTAAATTCATGTACAAAACACTAAATAAGCATCTGCTTACTACATCCCCTCCCAAAGCAAAATGGAATGAGAACAGACTTATACATGCAATAAACTAATGACGTAACAGAATTTTCCTTTTCAAAGCTGTGTTTAAAAAAAAGGTTTCTTATTAGACTGATAATTATAGTAAGATAAACTGGACAGGCATGGTTGTCCATGCCTGTAATCCCAGCACTCAGGAGGCTGAGGCAGGATTGTTTCCAATTTGAGACCAGCCTGGGCTACGAAGTGAGTTCAAGGCCTAAACTGTATGGTGAAACCCTGTCTCAATAAAAATTAAAAATAAAAAGTGCAAGACCCTGTCTCAAAAAAAAAAAAAAAAAGGCTGGGAATATAGTTCAGAGGCAGAAACACCTACCTGGCAAATACAGGTCCTGAGTTTAATCCCTGATTTTGCACCCTGGACCTGCATGCCATCTCACCCAAGGACCCTGGGCACGGTGGCACACACCTGTGATCCCAGCTCAGGATGCTGAGACAGGAGGATCACTGTGAGATCAAGAGCAGCCTAGAAGCTACACAAACTAAGCACAGGGCCAGCCCCAACGTCTAGTGAGACCCTGTCTCAAAAAAAACAAAAACAAAAACCAGTGCTCACTTCATGCACATATACTTAAAAAAAAAATTAAGATTCTTTGCCAAGAGTTAAAAAATAAATACACAATATAAAAGTTCAAGAACAGCACAGAGACTGGGCATGTTAGTACACACCTATAATCCTAGCACTTGGGAGACTGAGGCAGGAGGATCACTGTGAAATCCAGGCAAGCCAGGGCTAATAAAGAGTTCAAGGCCAGCCTGCATTATACAGTGAGACCCTGTCTCAAAAAAAAAAGCAATTTAGGGAAGTTAGGAGCATCCAATGTCACAAATAACAACTTCCATTCTCAGAATATATTGTTTAATGCCACTGAAAGTGCCACACAGGGGATGGCAAATTTTTCTGTAAAAAAAACCAGAAGTATTTTAAGCTTTTTGGGCTATCTTTAAAAATGTTAACAACTATTTATAGCTCATAGGCTACAACTGGATTTCCCCCATGCCATTGTTTGCCAAACCTAGGTCTCTTTGAATATAGCTATTTCCACTAAATCTTTTGCTGACCAATATAAATTTATCTTTCTTGGAAATAATCCATTCAGGGTTCTACCTAAACACCAGTGCTGAGCTATCAGTTTAAGTCTACTGACTAGTTTCCTACTACTGCTGCCACTACAGCAAACTGGCATCCACAAAGTTCAGAGCATTTATACTCCATGTTAGCTTTGCAGAGGCAAATGTTGGGCTTCAGATTCTACATGGGAAAGTCATGTATAGGAGAAGCTTGGTTTTGAATTAACTCACAATGACGAGCTGGTCCTTCGTTTCTTTATTTGTATCTCTGGTGTTCACAATTTTCTGTGTATTGTTCTGTTTTGAGAAGTTAATACATGTGATAGGCCCCACAGAAGACTGTTCTTCAGCTGGAGACCTTGAAGTATGAAGTTGATAAATATTACATAACAATGAAAAAACAGAGGCCCACTCAGAGAGGGATCAGGCATTTACTCAAGAGAATGCAACTAGTGAATGGCAACGTTAAGACTCAAATCCTGGTCTTCTCCAACTCCAGTGAATTTTTTAAGGAAAGAAGGAGGGAAAAGACAAGAAAAAGGAAGAAGAAAGGAAGGAAGGAAGGGAGAGGGAGAGAGGGCAGGGGGAGGGAGGGAAGAGAGAAACTTTAGTTGGATAGATATAGTTGAGGCAATCTGCATTCAAAAAAATGTCAGGATTTGATTACAAGGTTACAAACTGGAAGCTCTCAAACCAAATCCCACTTACAGATACATTTTCATTGGCCCACACATTATTTAAAATTTTAAATAAATTTTAAAATAGCTACCAATATTTTTAAATCTAGAGAATTCACTTAAAAATGTGTACTTCTGATATTATAAGAGACACTAACAGATCACAAGACCTCTATTCTTTTAAAAACATGTCTTAGTTAAAGCAAAACAGAATAGCACTTCCAAAGGGGGCAATAGTGCCCCAAACAGGGCATGCATTCTCTAGTTGATCCCAGTTTTTACCCCAACCTTGCTGAGATCTTTTCCATCTCTCAACCTTAAATCCTTATGACATTTCTGTGAGAAGTATGGATTTCATCTATTCTCAATATTATCCTATTCTCCTCAGTGTTGAAAAAAATGGTCTCCAGATTTGGACATTAAAGCAAGAATAATTCCTACCTTTTTGTATTACATGAAGACACACTGAAGATGGGATAGACAAGGGACTCAGGAGAAACTGGTGGGTGAAAAAACAACAGTAATTCAAATTACCAAACAAATCAAAATTTTAAATCATAATATTTTAAGGGTTAATAAGACAATTCATATTCTTATTACTTAACTTCAAAGCTTAACCACAATCAATACAATGTGTATTAGCCAAAGGAGTAAGAAACAAATGGAAGAAAATAGACCAGAAATAGACACACACCAATGCATTCAATTGATTCTTGACAAAGAGGCAAAGATATTTCAATAGAAAAAGGATAATCTTCAACAAGGTGCTGGCATAACTGGATGCCCACATGTAGAGAATTATATACATATGTATCTTATATACAAAAGTAACTAAAGGGGTCAGTGAGATAGCACAGTGGTCTAAAGTACCTGCTGAGACAAGTGCAAGGGACATGGTTTGATCCCCGGCATCACATGATATGATACGCCAGCCCCACCACCAGGGCAAGCTGAGCTGCCTAACAAAAAGAACTGAAAATGGATCACAGATCAAAATGTAAAGTATAAAACACAATAAACACTATAGTAGTGAATTACTGAAGACATCAATATGAACTCATGCCATTATGTACAGAAATAATTAGTTATGTATTATACGCAAATATATTTTCTTGCTCTGCTAAGAGGGTCTAAAAGCAACAATATGTCAGCAACAACAAGCATGCGCAGAGTCCAGATCTTGAGTTTCTAAATACTGTACCATTGTTCAATAAAAGCAACCAGCATTCTGTGGAGAACTTGCTGGTTCTAATGCTGGTGCAGGGAAAATTCAAGGTAAGCCTATAGCATCTCATCATGACAGGAAATAAAAAGTGCTCAAAAAACAAAAAGATAAGCATCAGCAGACCTAGACTAAATTTAAGGGTTCATAACACCTGTCTGGCAAGAGCAAGGTTCTGAGTTTGATCCCCAGTACCAAAAACAAAAACAAATAAATAAATTTAAGGGTTTCTGGGGCCTGACTTCAGTATCACTGCTTAGCAAGTTCTGCTCATACCTGGGCTTTTTCTTTTTTTGGTCTTTTTGAGCATTTCACCATGCAATTCAGGCTGGCCTTGAACTCACTTTGCAGCCCAGGTTGACAATGAACCTGAAGCTATCTTATCTCAGCCCCTCAAGTGCTGGGATTATAGGTGTGCACCACCACACCTGGCTATATTTGAGTTTTGACCTATAACACAAATTTTTTACTCCCTCTTATATTTTGGATAAAAGGATTATGATTTTATAATGAGAACATCCAATTGTAGAAGGCTTAAGTAATTTGGCAAAAGCCATAGTCAAGTAAGTAATACTGGCTTTTTGTCCAGTTTTAATCTAAAATCTCCTTGTCTTCTGCTTCTTAACATGTACTCCACACTGCTTTAACAGAGAAAATAGTGCCACAGAAATACACACAAAGATAACTTCATAATCACATTACTTAATTTTTTTTTTCTGGAACTGGGGATTGAACTCTGGCCCTTGCACTTGCCAGACAAGTGCTTATTCTACTGAGCCATCTCCCTGGTCCTAAATGGCAGAAGGATTTTTTTTTTTGGGGGGGGGGGTTCCGAATGCCTTCAGAGGTTTGGCTGGCTTGAGTTGTGGGGATCGAACCACAGCAACCTGAGCCTGACTGCTTTGTTGAAGCAGCCACTTAAAGAACTTAGCTAAGGGGCAGGCCCCCAAAAATTTTAAACACTTGGAAATTACTATATGTGAATTTTACACTGACACATGTAATGAAGCATTATTACAAGTAGCTAATCTTGGAGCTGGGGAGACGGCTCAGTGGAATAAGCGCTTCCCTGGCAAGTGCAAGGGCCTTAATTCAATTCCCGGTTCCTCAAAAAAAAAAAAAAAAAAACAAGTAGCTAATCTTAAGAAATTTTCTTACTTTTGTTCTCACCAAGTGAATCATCTGAAGGCAGGTGCTTATTTTTATCAAGTGTATATTCCTTTGAAGAAACTACTGCACCTGATGAATCCTGAAAAGGAAAGTAAAAAGTAAAGGTGCTAAGAATTCTTAGTTGTTTTCTATTTAGTGAATGAACCCCAAAAGATCTGTTTTTAAAGCAAAAAATAGTTCACTATGAATTATATTCTATACTGATTTTTAAATCCTCAGAAAATTTCCTCAGCTTATTAAATATATATCACCTTCTAAAAGCCAAAGTACATATTTTTGGGGCTGGGGAGATGGCTCAGTAGAATAAGCACTTCCCTGGCAAGCACAAGGGTCTGAGTTCAATCCCTGGTTCCGCAAAAGAAAAAAAAAAAAAAAAAAAACCCACAAAAATGTATCTTCCAGATAAAGATGGCTGAAAAAGATTACAGATTGTCCCTTCCATAAAACAATGAACATAAATGAATAAAAATGGGCAAATCTCCCCAGTAGTCACCGACTTGGAACCGGCTTTTTTTTCCTTGCTTTTAAAAGGAAGGAGCAGAGGGCCAGGCAAATAGCTCAGCGGATTAAAGTGCCTGCAAGCAGGCTGGGGGGCTTGCCATGCAGGCCCCGCCCCCAGCATGTGCTGAGACAGCAATTGAGACTGGGTGTAGTGGCACAAGCTTGGAATCCCAGCTCTTGGGAGGCTGTAAATAGGTGGATCACTATGAGTATGATCTAGTAGTGAGACCCTAACACCCTGCAGACCCTCCCCTAAAATACAAAAATAAATAGGAAGCAGTAGAAAAAGCAGAAGAAACCCTGACAAATTTTACTAATACTACTATTTAGGTGAGAGAGATTAGATATCATGGGAAAAGGAAAAAACAGATTAAAGCATAACTCCTACTGAAGACTGTATCTTAGCCATTTTCAGGGCCCCATGAAGTGGGGAAAGGGGCTCCTTCTACCCTTTCAGATCATCTTTAACTAGAAAGCAAAGATGAACCCTAACAGTGGCTATTTAACAAAATCTTAAGATGACACAGCCTAGTTGTGAAACTTTAAGATGTAAAAACGTCCAGTGACACCAGACATGTTTTCTTGGGATTTTAAAAAATTTTGGCTCAAAATATTTAATTTTGTAACACAAGCAAAACACGGCATGAGCTGGATTTGATCTACTGTCCACCAATTTTATCTTTGCCACTGAATTTGCCATTTAGGAGGTTACAAGAGTTATAAGTTGGGGCTGAATTTGAGAGAAAGCAGAAGAGTTAGGATGGAGATGACTGTCAAGCTTGAATTACCTCATACAGGAGTCTAATAAATGCAACAGGGTATTGTATTTCAGGCCTATTGTTTCTCTAGTTGTAAGGGTTGCAATGAGTCTATGATACTGCAGACACAGAAACTCTGACCTGGGAGATTCCCTTTCTGAAGGCCTAACGCGTCAACTGTCAACAGTCATTAGCTACCTGAAGGAAAAAAATGATTGCAGACAAGAAGCCAATAAATAAAAAGTCTAGACTTAAATAATTTGCTAGGGCAGCCACAAGCCACATATAACTGATGAGAACCTGAAATGTGGCTACTGTGAATTGAGAGTTTGATGTAAAATAAACATGGATTTTAAGAACTTTGGAAAGAATATAAGATATTTCATTAATAGCTTTAATATTGATTACATTAAAATAACCTTTTATATACATTGGTTAATTTTTTTTTTTAGGGGCCGGGGAAACGGCTCAGTAGAATAAGCGCTTGCCTGGCAAGAGCAAGGGCCTGAGTTCAATCCCCGGTTCCGCAAAAAAAAAATAAAATAAAATTATCTTTTCATATGTGACCAGTAGAAAAATTTAAATTACACATGGCACCGGGGGCTGGAGAAATATCTCAGTGAAGTGCTTGCCTGGCAAACGCAAGGTCCTGAGTTCGATTCCTGGTACCACTCCCCCGCCAAAAAAAATAGACAGTACTGTGTTGATATGAGAAAGATCAACTGGAAGCACAAAATAATGACTGTGATGATAAACAGTAATCATGTCCAGATAGTGGAGTTGTAATTTCTTTTATATATATGCACCTGCTGTCCTCACTAAAATTTCTAGAATAATCTACATTAAACAATGAGCTAAAACAAATTAAATAGGTTTATCCTTTAGAAAAATACTGCTGGAAGCCACAAATAAAGGGAAAAAAATCTATTATCTTTCTGCCCCACCTCTAAATTCTTTACACTATCGATCATATAAGAGCAGCTTTTCAAAACATATAGCTCAATCTGGCTAAGCACCTGCTTAGGCAAGTCCAAGGACCAGGCTTCAATCCTGGGTACCACATGCCTGCTGCACCAGCCCTGCCTCAGGATGCATTGAGCCAGACTGAGTCCAAGTGTGATGGCGCACACCTGTAATCCCAGTGTTAGGGAGGCTGAAAACAGGAGAATCACTCCAAGTCCAAGCTGCCTAGTGAGACCCTGTACTAAATACAAAATGTATAGATCAAGCCAGGCACACTGGCATAAAGTTATAATTCCAGCACTCAGAAGATGCTGGGTCAGGAAGATTATTGTAAATTCAATGCTAGCCTTGGATACATAATCATTTCAAGGCGAGCCTGAACTATACAGTGAACCTATTTTTAAAAAAAGCGAGGTCAGGGAGATGGCTCAGTAGAATAAGCGCTTGCCTGGCAAGTACAAGGCCTGAGTTCAATCCCCAGTTCCACCAAAAAATAAAAAAAAAAAAATAATAAAAAAGCAAAACAAATTGTAAAGATAAAATTTGGGGGGCTGGGGATGTGACTCAGGAGTAGCTTTTATCTGCATGCACAAGGCCCTGGGTTCAGTCCCCAGCACCACAAACACAAAAAAATCAAATTCTGTCCAGCTATATTACATATAATATCTATACTGAAATTTTGTTAAATAGCTGCTAGCTGTGTTTACAATGATATATTTGGCTTTCTTTGTTTCTTAATTTCTTTTCATTTTTACTTCTTGCACTCACCTCAATATTCAATTTTTTTTCTAGTACCAGGCACTTGGACACTTGTTCTTTGATGAAAGTTTTTCTTTCACATACAGCCTCTGCATCACAGTCTTCAATCACTTCTGGTTTATTCTTTTGGTTGAGACTCATTGATGGCTTATTTTCCAGAGAAAATTTTCTAAGAGAGAGTTTTTTTCGACTAACAAAAAATGCTGCTCCACCCTGAAGTGTAGTTTGTGGTTTTATTTTTTGGCTTAAGACC